ACATTAGAAAGATGGAAACAGTGTCTCCATCCACAGCAAAAAGCAGGTTTGCTTACAACCCTGGAAGGAATGTCTCTCTCCAGCTCACTGTAATTTAGCTGCATTTTCTAAGCACAGGTTCCTCTGTGGTGCAGCTGTCACCTGACTCCCTTTGGTCACCCTCTGGGACTTAGGGCTTGGGGTACCAGCACAGGAAAGTGCTGATATTCTGGCTATTGCTATTTCTGTGACTAATAAAGTCTTTTGTCTCTAACTCAGGAGTCTTGTATATTCTGCCAAAATCCATAAAACTATGGCAGGCTAACTTGTTAGCATAAAAATAAGGTAGAATCTCAGACCTTTCACAATTCAACACTAACTTTGATATTTCCTATAGAAAGGCAAATGTACTTTCCTTTTTATGAAATAGCTGAAGTCACATCTCAATATTAAATTCCAACTTCTTATAATTATAATTTGATTTACATCAGCTTACCAAATAAAGGGTTATAGTAAACTAAATCTGACACCTTCTACTTTTTAAAAAAATCATGCTGTTCTATTTTTATTTTACTTTGGCATATTTTTTACCTCTACACCGGCAGAGGCATCAAACACAGCCACTGCACCATCGAGCACCCTCAGGCAGCGCTCAACCTCCAAGGTAAAGTCCACATGACCTAAGAAAGAGATGAAACATGTAACACTTAAAACCTTAAAACAAAAACAAACAAACAAATGTGTTACTCAGCAATCCCACTTTGGGGATATATCTAAAAGAATCAAAAGGAGAGTATAAAAAAGATATCTGCACACCTATGTTCAGAGCAGCACTATTCACAATAGCCAAGAGGTGGCAGCAACCTTTATGTCCACTGATGGATAAATGGTACAGATACAAAATTTTGTATATATATGAAATGTGTTATCTATGTACAATGGAATACTATGCAGCCTTAAAAAGAAAGGAAATACTATCATATGCCACAGCATAAATGAACCTTGAAGGACTTTATGCTAAGTGACGTCAGCCAGTCACAAAACAACAAATATTGTATGATTCTACTAATATGAGGTATGTAAAGTAGTCAATTCCATAGCTATAGAATTAGAATGGTGGTTACCAGGAGTGGTAGGAGACAAAAAAGAATAATTGTTTAAAGGGTACAGAGTTTCAGTTCTACAAGATGAAAAAGTTCTGCCTGACCGGTTTGGCTCAGTGGATGGAGCATCGGCCTGCGGACTCAAGGGTCCCAGGTTCGATTCCAGTCAAGGGCATGTACCTTGGTTGCAGGCACATCCCCAGTGGGGAGTGTGCAGGAGGCAGCTGATTGATGTTTCTCTCTCATCGATGTTTCTAACTCTCTATCCCTCTCCCTTCCTCTCTGTGAAAAATCAATAAAATATATTTTAAAAAAAGATGAAAAAGTTCTGAAGATCTGTTTCACAATAATATCAATACACTTAACACTACTTAATCGTACACTTAAAAATCGTTAAGATGATAAATTTTATAGGTTTTTTACAATTTAAGAAAACACATATACAAACAAAACCCTGAAATGATACAGCATCACTGCTAGAACAGCACCATACCTGGTGTATCAATTAGATTGACTCTGTACCCCTTCCAATCAAACGTAACAGCAGCTGATTGAATAGTAATGCCTCTTTCTCGCTCTTGAGCCATGAAATCTGTCACTGTGTCTCCATCATCAACATCTAACCAGGAAAAAGATGACATACTTAAGCTTAACCGCAAGAGCATTTTCTTGGTACCTGATGTCTACCTAACAATTTAATTTTGCTTTAAAAATTATTCATAAAATATTTGGTTTAATATTTAGAGTCCTTAATCCAGCGGTTCTCAACCTGTGGGTCGAGACCCCTTTCACAGGGGTCGCCTAAGACCATCCTGCCTATCAGATATTTACATTACGATTCATAACAGTAGCAACATTACAGTTATGAAGTAGCTACGAAAATAATTTTATGGTTGGGTCACAACATGAGGAACTAACTGTATTTAAAGGGCCAGAAGATTGAGAACCACTGCCTTAATCCTTCTCTAAACAAATCCTTATTCTAGAAAAAGATCTTTCAGCATGATTAGCAATTTTCCCATAAAAATAATTTTTCTGTAACAATTGGGATTAAAATATACGAAATATTTTACTTTTACTGAACCATATACTTCTTTCATTTTTCCCTAGTTTAACTTTTATTTTTTAACTTTTTACTTTTTAACGTTAAGTTTAACTTTTAGTTTTCTTTATCTGATGTCGCTCACACCTGACCTCTTGACCCAAGGCAGAGCAGTGCAATGAAAGAGCACAGACAGACCCAGATTTAAATCCCAACTTTACCACTTACTCCTCTGTGATCTTGAACAAGTTGCTTAACCTATTTTGTGAAATCAGGCTAATAAAGCCAACCTTGTTGGGGTATTACAAGAATGAAACGAGACTATATATACATAAAGTACCTAGCTCAGTAAGTGTTAAGTAAATGGAACACTGTAAAGAAAAATTCCTCCCAAGTGATCCTTTATAAATGCTTATTACTAAATTTTCAAAAAAGGGGGGTGGGGTTGGATGGGAGGAATTTATTTATACAAATCCAAATAAAGTCTTGGTAGAACTTCTATAGCATAGAGTCATGAATAAAGTTCATCCTGATAACCAAAAAGTAATCTGCAATATAATAAATTAATTAATAAATTAAAAATAAATGAATGAATTTTTTCAAAATTCATTCATTTATTTTTTAAATTATAGTTATATTCAATATTATTTTTGTATTGGTTTCAGGTGTACAGAATAGTGATTAGACAATCATATACTTCACAAAGTGCCCCCCTCAACTAAGTGACCACAGCACCATACACAGTCATACAATATTACCTGCTATATTCCCTATGCTGTACTTTACACCCTGTGACTATTTTGTAAGTACCAATTTGTACTTCTTAATCCCTTCACCTTTTTCACCCATCACCCCAAACCCCTGCCCTAAAATTCTTAACATATATTTTATCCTGATTAAATTTATACAGTAAAATAAATGAAAAAAAGGACTTCCAGTCAAGATGGCAGAGTAGGTAAATACTGTTTGCCTCTTTCCATGACATCAAAATTACAATTAAATTCTAGAACAACCATCATTGAGAAGCACCTGAAGACTAGCTAAACAGAAGCCCTATAACTAAGGATATAAAGCCATGTTGAGACTAGTGGGTGGGGAAAGACACAGAATGGGCAGGTTCCACACCCAAAGTGGTTCCCTCTGAGGAGCAAGGAGTCCCAGCTGAACACGACTCCCTAGCCCAGGGCTCCAGTGCCAGCAATAGGGGTCCCATCACATACAGCTGTGAAAACCAGCAGGGACTGTGTCCGAGTGAAATGGAGGACAGCTGGAGACCTAGGCGTCCTCTTGAAGGGCCCACTTCCACTCACTCACTCACAAACTCATCTGCCCTGGGCTCCAACACAGGGGCAGCAGCTGGAAAAGCATCAGGAACGCCTGGGAGGAACTGAATTGGCTAGCTTTAGGGTGAGGGCTGAAGGAGCAGGGGTCTGGAAAGCTCTTGGAGATGCAAGCACTGGCAGGCGCACTGTTTCTTTGTTGAGCCCACCCCCAACCAGCAGGTATAGCGCAGGCAGGAACCGTATCTGTGCTCTCCATCAACCTGGCTACCACGGCTTGCCCTGCCTTGGTGATTACCTGAGACCTGCCTCACCCAACTGGTGCACACAACCAAACCTCTTCCAGCGGCTTTTTTAAACAAGTGGTTCTGCCTTGGTTCGACCTGCAGACTTTCCTAAAATCTCCTGAAGGTCCAAAACCCCAAACAAGCAGCAGCTGGCCTTGGTGTGCCTTAAACCTCTGGCTAAGTGGCCCCAAGCCCGGCACAAATGGTGACTGTTCTCAGCTTGCATTGTAACTCCCATCCGGTGACCACAGTCTGGCATAAACAGTGACCAGTCTTGCTTTGGAACACCGCTTCAACTAAGTGACCACAGCCCAGCACAAGTGGCAGCTGGCCTCAGCTCACGTCGTAGTGCCACCAAAGGGCCCCAAGCCCAGACTATGGCAGACAGCCTCGGTTCACAGCACAGCCTCTCCAAAATGCCTCTAAGCCCAGCATAAATGCCAACCAACCACAGCTTAGTTTGTAGCTCCTACCAGGTAGATCCAACCTGGGCACAAACTGCAGCTGACCTTGTCCAGCACCAGTCTCTCCCAAGAGCTTCAAGAACCAACACATCTGGTGGCCAGCTTCAGAACACACCAGAGCACTACCCACGCCGCTCCACAAACAACACACAAGAATGGTGGACTCGGCCATCACCAGAGCCCCACTAACATTTCACCTAAAAGAACTAGAAAAAGAACAACAAAGCCCAATGTATAAAAAAAAAAGCAAAAAAAACAACAAAAAAAACCCAATGTCAGAAGGAAGGAAATAATAAAAACTAGAGAAGTAAATGAAACAGAGAACAAAAATAGAAATATTGATGCAGTAAAGAGCTGGTTCTTTGAAAAGTTAATAAAATTGACAAACCACCCTGACCGGTTTGGCTCAGTGGAAGAAGAACACTGAGGAGGATTGGAATCTCCATTTGAAATGCACTCTGAGAAAAGATTACAAGAATCCAAAGAAATGGTTCCCAATACAGTGTACTTCAAAATCACTGCAGAGCTTTGGAAAAAGATACTCATTTCCACTTATGACCTCCATTGTAAATTTCAAAACAAACTGTTTTACCAGTAATAAAGAAAGGCACTTCATAATGATAAAAGGGTTAATGATAAAAGGGTTGATTCATCAGAGAAACGTAACAATCATAAATGTGTAACATCCAGGCCATACCAGACTTGTTGAAGCTTAATTTCCAGAGTGGAGTAAGGGCATGGTTATGTAAAAACAAAAAAAGCTACATGGGGTTTGAAATGTGAATGCCTGATCAAGAACAACAGTTTTTGACATGTTATAATTAAAAAATAAATCCAAAACTTAGGTAAAGACTACTACTACTGTGGAGTGAAAATTAACAAAATCCTTTATTTCTCTGCATGATAATTTGACCTCTGGTTAACTGTTTGGTTCTTTTCTTCTAGAAAACAGAAGTATGTCAACTATGTAGCTAGGCACACAACTTTTAGGAAAAATTTTGATTGGTAAGCTACACCTGAATTGGAAGAACTATAAATGAAGTATATATACCTGATGGAGATACATAGTTTTAGGTTTCCCTGAGTAGGCCATGGCATGTCCCTTGTGGGAAACCCTGAAGGTAGTCCAGGGAGCTGTAAGAAGAGAGATTCATTTCTAGAGGGCATAAGTCTTCTAAGCCAGAGTGGCTCCTATGAATCTTGTTACCTTGCAATTAAGCAATCACTGTTGGCCAAAGACAACAGTTCCCAGATATCCATGTAGGCTGCTTTTAGAACTCCTACAAAAGAAACACCTTTTGCTGGTCTGCTGGTAAGTTATGGTTTCTGCCCTACAGCTTGAATAGGCCAGTAGCCCACACTGTGGCCTAAGACAGTCTCATGAGTCTGAATATTTAGTTGAACCTAGAAAGACCCTTTTGTGGGTGTAGCAACTACCTTATTTGTATGCTGTGGTTTAGATAATAGTGCCTCCATGCCATACTCAAGATCTCTGGGTTGACTTCTTAATCAAAATATTTTCCAATGATGTTTTTGCTAATGGGGGATAGGGAGAGGAGGAATCCATTCTAACCTCCCAGTGATCTTGTGTATCCAGAATAGTACAATATTCTTTCTGTGGTGGTAGTTTTGCCTGCATCAATATGAGCCATAATTCCAATATTACGGATTCTGTTTAAAAGGGAGAAAAAAAAAGACATGTGTTATCAGGTGGACATTACTAAAACTGTAAAACCCAAATATGCTGTGCAAATTTTGAAGCTGGTGTAAAAATTAGAAAATATATCACGACCACAGTATTCTGACAAAATAAGTGTCAAAAGAACTAACTACAATCTTATAAATATCTTACATTTATTTCTATGAAAAGTGTGCTCTTCCTACATTAAAATTATTTTCTTTCAATTGTGAAAATAGCTTCTAAGATACATAACATGTACTTATAATAAGGTAGGGCAAAAGTAACAGAAATGAGAGCATTTACTAACAATGCTGATTAAGCCCAGGAGAGAAACCTGTAACTTTTCATGGTAGCCTATGGAAAAGACAGTATCAATGAAAAGACAATACTTACTTAGCTATAGGAGGATTGATGATGGAACGAAGAGATTTGATATCATTTCCTATTAAACCTAATGAAAAAAAGGTTTAAAATTAAACTGTTTAGGAAATTTTCCTTTAATTTATAGATGAAAGAAATTAATTTTAAGCAAATACTGTAATTCTAATTAAAGTAAAATCTAAGCTAAATAGAAGTCTCATTTACCTAAAATTTTCCTGAAATTTCTAAAGAAAGGCTATATATGCAATAAAACGTAAAGTTTTTAAACAATTTCTAAATCACATCCTTCGAAAAATATAGATTTACCCCAATCTCTGCCATACCTACAATTCCATAATAGAGCTGTAGATTAAGAACTAATGCTCATAAAATTATCTTAAGGCAGTATATCTTGAACTAAAGAAAAATATAAAATGCAGTCCTATAAGCCTGCATTGTCAAGACTTGAAAAGATAAGCACTCCTCATAACAGCTGATGATGAATTTCTGTACAACTTGGAACTACCTTCCTTCAGCAATCCCAAGGACAAAATACCTTTAGAGTCAGGCTGGGAGGTGCTACTGAACAGAAGCTATAATAATCTAACACTTCTAAAAGGCCAAGTAGCATTTCTGGAATAAAAAAGTCCATAATGACTTACTCTGTTTAACTCTATGTTAACCAGAAATGTACCAGAAAATCAATTTACAAAATATTATATTTTATTGATAACATTAAAACAACAATGCACTTACATTTATAAATATAATCTAGACCTTCCTGCTGTTTAAACCAGTTTCCCCAAATTTCTATAATAAGAATTGTATATTTTGGAAACCTCATGGAGATTTGAAGATGGAAAGATAATCTGTATTGCTACAGATAATTTTGCATGAGCAAAATACGGCAACTTAGATTCACACCAATAATGCAGGCCATTAAATTCACATGCCCTTACAAGTCACAAAGACAATCAGTATTTTTACTCTGTTTTTCTCACGTGACAAAGATGGGTAATGAGAACAAAAGAATGAAACTAGTTTCATCAACAAAGATGGGTAATGAGAACAAAAGAATGAAACTAGTTTCATCAAGTCTCCCATATGCTTGCTTACATCAAACACAAGAAGAACATTCAGCATTGGGAGCAGTCAGTTCCTTGGGCTCCCAGCTTTTATTTTTTCTATTTTTAATTTCAGATTGTAGATACAAAATAATTAGCCATTTATATGCAATAAATATTAATATTTCAAGAAAAATTATTTTAGCCATTTATATGCAATAAACATTAATATTTCAAGAAAAATGATTTTAAATATAATATTACTGCAAATAACAGGATTACTTCTATTATATTCTAAAATATTTTTTTCTCTGGCTCTATTTTTGTTCATCAGTTTATGTTGTTCTAAAATATTTTTTTCTCTGGCTCTATTTTTGTTCATCAGTTTATGTTGTTCATTATATTCCACAAATGAGTGAAATCATGTGACATTTATCTTTCTCTAACTGGCTTATTTCACTTAGCATAATGCTCTCCAGGTCCATCCATGCTAATGGTAAGAGTTCCTTCTTTTTTACAGCAGCATAGTGTTCCATTGTGATGTACCAGTTTTTTAATCCACTCATCTGCTGATGGGCATTTAGGCTGTTTCCAAATCTTAGCTATGGTGAATTGTGCTGCTATGAACATAGGGGTGCATATATCCTTTCTGATTGATGTTTCTGATTTCTTGGGATATATTCCTAGAAGTGGGGTTATTGGGTCAAATGGGAGTTCCATTTTTAATTTTTTGAGGAATCTCCATACTGTTTTCCACAGTGGCTGCACCAGTCTGCATTCCCACCAGCAGTGCACGAGGGTTCCTTTTTCTCTACATCCTCTCCAGCACTTGACATTTGTTGATTTGTTGATGATAGCCATTCTGACAGGGGTGAGATGGTACCTCATTGTTATTTTGATTTGCATTTCTCAGATGATTAGTGAGTTTGAGCATGTTCTCATATGTTTCTTGGCCTCTTTCAAAAAGTGTCTATTTAGGTCCTTTGCCCTTTTTTGAATGGATTATCTTCCTTTTGTTAAGTTGTATCAGGCTCCCAGCTTTTAATAGCCTATTAGCTACCCTAAACTATCCCAGATAGAGAGTTAACCAAACTACTTCTCAAGAACCTTCAAAATAAATTATTCTGGTAAAGCTCTATTTACAGAAAATACTTTTGTATAAAAACCAGAAATGTACTAGAAAATCAATTTTCAGCAAGAGCACTCTACAAGTAGACTCACCTGCTACACTTTTGAGCCAGCTACTAAAGCTGATTCAACCCTTCCCTTCATTCGGCTTATTAGGATGACCAGCAGATGAGGAGCATGAATGTCTATTGGTGTTCCCTCCTGACATCTATCAGAATACTCCCTACTCCTAATAATCTCAATAGCCAAGAAGTAAAAGGAGCCACTATTTCCAAAATGGTTGGAGACGCTTACAAATGAGAGAGACTGGGGAAGGGGAGGAGAAAGAAGGAGAAGGAAGAGGAGGAAAGGGAGAGAGGACGAGGAGGGGTCAAGGAGAGAAGGAGGAAAGAAAGTAGAAAAAGAGGGAAGAGGTAGAGAGAAGCAAGCAAGCAAGCAATGTAAGTAAAATGAGAAGAATCTAACAGTATTACCTGGCAGGGAACTGTAACTTCTTCCAAGAGCCACAAGTGGCTTTATTCGTTTTAAACTTGCTCTCATTCTAGAGCAATACATATTCTAGTGAGGAGAAAAAGAAACGACATTAACTTTGTTAGCATGACTCATTACAGTAGTTTTAACATTGTAACTATGTTTGTCAGAGGACAAAATACTTTAAATCTCCTTAAAGCAGTCCCAATTTATTAACTCCAATTCTTTTTAAAAGTGACAACCCAAATTATACTACAGGAAAGACAAAGAATAAAATTAATACTAGTTTGCTATTTTAAGCTGACCTTAGACGCCAGTTCTCCTAGACCTGCAGCATTATCATCACAGAGAACTTACAGAAAGACAAGCTCTCAGGACCCACTCCAAACAAGGGAACCAGATGCTGTGGAGATGGGGCAGAACAATCGGTGTTATAACAAGCTCTCCAGGTGATGCTGATAGCTACAGTTTGAGAACCAAAATCCTGAAGTTTCCAGAGACTCATTAATGTTAAAAAGGTCTCTCACCCTGGCTACTCCTTCAACTGCAAAGAGCTGGTGGGGGTCATAAACTCTAAAACTATTGGATGTTTTCAGGATTTAAAAGAGTGCCTACACATTAGAATCACCTGGAAACCTTTTAAAAAACATTTGGGCCCTAGGTTTCGTTCAGTGGATAGAGCGTCTGCCTGTGGACTGAAGGGTCCCAGGTTCGATTCCGGTCAAGGGCACATGCCCGGGTTGCAGGCTCCATCACCAGTTGTGGGGGAGTGTGCAGGATCCTCTCTCATCATTGATATTTCTATCACTCTCTCCCTCTCCCTTCCTCTCTGAAATCAATTAAAAAACAAAAAAACAAAAAAACATTGGGGTGGGGGAAGAAGGGGCTGGCATTTTAAAAAGTTGCCCAGGTATCTTCGAATGGTCCCACATAGATACTGAATATTCTCCATCCCAATTTATACTTGGACCACTAGATACACATTTAATGGCTGACAATGTATTTGGAATTGTTACAGTTAAGAGTATGTAATGATTTGGGGCTGCCACAAACTGCCTTTTATATCATCATGGAATATAAAAGCTTGTGCCTTCTATATTATTTCTTCATTAGTTACCAAGTTTCTAGCAATAAAGCACTATTATCCTAAGAAAATATTTTAAAAGTAAAGAAGAAACTCAAAGCTATTAAAATTTTCACCAAGGTGATCAAGGTAAGACAGTGTGTGTAATCTGAAAGCATTAGCAATGAAAACACTGGAGAAAAACTGTAATTGTTTGGGCCACTAATGACCTCAAAATGGAATACTGAAATAGATATTCTTCAAAATACTGCAAAGGTGATTTTAAAGCAGTAAAATGAATTTATAAACTAATGATAAGGCATGCTTCTTCTTGGTTACAGGTTCTCCCATACCTGTAAAAAGATAAATTATATATATATATAATCTCCCCTTTGGGAAATAAAGTAAATGAAGTATATTTAATTTTACAAGAAAAACTTACACAAATGGGCAAGCTGGATATTTTCTTATGATTCACTGCAAATATCCTCAAGTTGGACAACATCTTGGCCCTCTAAACTATTATCCTCTGAAAAAGAAATATACAAGATTATAAAACTAAGTTTACATATTCCATGTCAGTAATACATATGTAAGTAAGGCATATGTAGATATGTGGTAAAAACGTATTACTTTTAAAAAGTAGGAACAATATTTTTAGCTATCAAAAACAATGCATCTTTCAGAAAATGGAAATTCTGACTAAACATGAGGAATACAGTTCCAAGATTAAAATGTTCCTTGTTCTTTTCAACATGCTTTTAATTCTTCAAAAAAATATATAGACAGTATAGAAAAAGATTTATTGAAATTATAAAAATATATCATACCAACCAAAATTTTTATGTAAAATGTATAGAATTAAGTATAGAAAGGTTAAACATCTACCTACATGTTGGTAATTTCTCATTGGTAGTATAACTTTTTTATTTATCCGTATATTCTGATTTTTTCTACCATAAATATATAAAAAAAATACAAAAGCAAGTCCTCTTCTATAATTATAGAAACTAAGCATCTTTAGTTTTAAAACATATTTACTAAATATGTTTTAGTAAATGTTCTCTATGTTTCGAGTACACTATAAAAGCTATGAGAAATGCATGGAAACATTTGATTGGATGGAGAGACAAAAACAGATAGGGTTAAACCAGAGTGCCCAATATTATGTAAGAAGCCATGTCAAAAGACTATTATTCCTCTTAAATTTGCTTTTTTCTGTATCTTAAGACAGAAATATTCACCATCCATATTCAGGAAGTCACCAAATCCTTTTGATTTTACTTCCTAAATATATCTTGAATCCACTCCCTCTTCTTCATTTCTAACGCCAAAGTGCAAGATGTTTGCAAAATCATGCATGTTAGATCTCTTCTAAAATAGAACAATGGATTCTAACATAACAGAACAGAAAAAGTTGACTAGTATGATTTGCTTTCACATGGCAACTAACCTTTAAGAAACTATCACTTGTCAAAGCCTACTACAGCGTCCACAATTTTCTGAAAAGATAATTAAAATAATCTTTCCTTTCCCAATCATATATACATGCATGTATAAGGCTGAATCTTCTTACACTTCACCCAAAAATTTTTTAAAAAGATATATAGTAACATAAATACAGAAGCAGGAATGAGATGCCAGCTGTTTTCTACTAAATCAGACATTAAAGCAGTGGTTGTCAACCTTGGCTGCACATTAGAATCACCTGGGAATCTTTTTAAAATCCTGATTTCTGGGCCTCAACCTCCGCAAATTCCGTTTCTTTGTTACTAAAAGAGTGCGCCCCAACCATAAACACAGCTCATCTGATTTGAGGAGGGGGAGGCCGAGAAAACCCGGATCCTACTAGGTATTTCGAGTTGCTCTACAAAAGACAATCCTGGTTGACGAACACCTGTCATTAATGGCAGAGGAAGCGGATAAGGCCGGAACAGTTATCTCTTTTGCGTTCAGCTAACAATACTTTTC